CTCCAGCCTCTGCACAGGAAGTGGGCTGGCCCTGGGATTTCAGGCGGCTGCCCCCATCAGTCTGCTCTATGAGTCTCCAGAGCCCAAGCCGGGCCCTGGGGAGATGGCTGTGGTCTCAGCAGCAGACAGAACTGGACAGAGCTTGCCGCAGCCCCATGTCTCAGCCAGGTGATATGCCACCTTGCCCTCACTCTGCCCCAATCCGGTCCCCAGGTACTGTAGCTCCCTTGGGGCCCCTGCCACCAGCCCCAGGGGGCTGGGAGTAAAGGTCACGGGGATGGGGCCACACTGGGGAGGCTTCTGAGGAGGCTTAGAGGGTGGAAGAGGAGACCTGGCTGTGAAATGGGGGTGCTGGGAGGCCTCTGGGGTTTGAGTCCGGATTGGTCCCTTACTTGGCTGTGTAACTGGCAGGTCAGTAGTGTCTCCAGTCACTGCTGGGGAGATGGGACTCCTTCCTTGGGGCTGCCCAGGGGGCACACTCTCTCTCTTCTCCTGGGGGCCCAGGCCATCTGCTCTTAACTGTGTTTGGAACACCATGGGAATGGGGCTGTTGGGGGGCAGAGCCACCCTTAAGGTCCCCTTCCTTCCCCCACAACCAGGATCCTGTGCCTTCTGGGGAGATGCCCCCCAGGGGGAAGTAGCAATAGTGAGCCCTGTGTGAATGTGTGTGTGTGCATTTGTGCGTGAGGAGGGAGGGGGGTTAGAGGGGACCAGGGAAGGTAGTGTCTGTCAAGGTCAGAGGTCAGTGGGACTCATCTCTGGCTACCCAATCCCCACGAACCCCCACATTCCACAGTATCTGCCCCTTGGAGCCTCTCCTGCACCCAACTGGGTTCAAACCCCTAGCTCCCCCAGCCTACAGCCTGGGCAAGAGGCTTGCTCACTCACACGTGCCTCAGTCTCCTCATCTGAGAAAAGGAGTCATAACAGTAGCTACTCAGAGGGCTGCTGGAGGACTGAATGAGGTAGTATCTGCAAAGTGCTCACGACAGTGCCGGGCACAGGGCGGGAGCTGAATATTAGTCACCCTCATCAACCCCATCCTCAGTGTTATCGTTGTCACTGTCATTACCAGCATCTTCTTTAACTCAGAATCAGATGGCCTGGTTTGAGTTCAGCCCCTTGGGCAACCCTGTGAGGCAGTCGACAGTCCTGACATCTATCAGAAAGGAGACAATGACGCCAGCCTCCCAGGGCTGTGGTGGGGACCTGATGAGTCAGGCAGTGTGACAGCCCTGCCATCGTGAAGGGCATGGTGGATGCGTGTGGGAGCCCTGGGGCTTAGAGGTCTGGCGTGTCCTCCACGAAGCTGGGCCTCTTCCTTGCTCTGTGACCTTGAGCAGATTTCTTAAACTGAGACTCAGTTTCCTCTTCTGCAGGATGGTGCAGCCTCGAAGACAGCTAGGCATCCCCAGCCCCCACCCCTCTGGCGCGCGGTCCTGCTCTGTCCTGGCATCTGTCCCTCACGCTCCTCTCTTGCATGTTGTCGTCTTGGTCTGTGTTGCTGCACCCTCGGGCTAGGGCCATGGGGAGCCCTGGACCTGCTTCTCTTCTGCCTCGCTCCCTGCCCTGGGGGCTGGGGTTTGGCTCTGGCCTCGGGGCAGTCTGGCAGGCCTCTGCCCCCACCTCCTGTCACCCTGAGGCTTTGTACCAGGTCCTGTCCTGGATATAGGTTGCCTGTTGGCTGGGGCCAGTTCCCAGGGGACACTCTCCAGGGGATCAACAGTGCCTGTGTCCCAGGTTTGCGATCGAGTGACTCAGGGGAACAGTGGGGCTTGCTGGGAAAGCCCTTTTGTGGGGCTCTGTACCCTTTGAGGCCCCAACCCTGTGCCCTGTAATATTTGGAGGGCCCAAAGAGGGAGGCAACCAGCCCCACCCTGGGGAGCTTACCTTTCGGTGGGGATGGTGGGCCAGGCATGGAGGAGTCCACAGGTACCTCTCTGGGCTCCTTCCCACACCAGGCCAGATTCCACCAGCAGGCCTGTGCCTCCCCAGGGCAGGGAGGCTCTCTGCCTTACCTCTGGGACCACGTCTGGGACAGGGGCTGGCAGGGTGGAATGGCGAGAGAGAACGGACCTTGGAACGGAGTGCGGGAATTGGATCCCAGCTCTGCCTCTTCTGTGTGTGTGACCTTGGATGGGTTAAGGACTTGGAGCCTTGGTTTTCTCATCTGTGTAAGGGGATAATCTGTGTGAGTTAAGTGCCCCCCCTCCAAACCCCAGCAGCTCAGCATATTAGATGAGCCAGTGTACCAAAGCCCTTGGCAAGTATTGTTATGAGGTATGTGTTTATTGAGCTTGTGAGCTGGCTCAGTGGGTGGGAAAGATATAGTCAGAGAAGTTACAGGCGGGCCCTGCCTGGGCTCCGGGCAGTCCGCACTGACTCAGACCCACATCTGCCTTGGTAGCTTGCTCTTCATGTCTCTGTGCCTCAGTTTCCTCATCTGAGAATGGGGATAATTGGACTGTCTCCAGCAGATGCTCTTGCTGCTTCATTTAAAATTTAAAACAGAGTCTGGCATACAGGAACGTCTTGCCGAGTGGTTTCAGATTGGCTAAGGGGGCGGCAGGGCAGAGAGGAGGTAAGCTCTAATCCGAGCCTCCCTAGGTGGACGCGAGCAAATCTTTCACTTTCCTGGGCCTCAGTCTCCCCAGTTTTGAACCAGGGACTGGGCTTACTCACGGAGCCCTATCAGCAATGACAGTGGTGGGGTCCCTGGATGGCTGAAGGAAGGGAGTGAGCAGGTGTGGGGCAGAGGGAGCAGCAGGCACAAGGGCCCTGAGGCCGGACTGCATTGAGCGGTGAGGGGCGGACCTTTGCACCCTGAGCAGGGCAGGGGCGGGTGTTCACTTGTGCTCTCCCCCCTCCTCCCCTCCCTCCAGGGCTCCCTTCCCTAGCTCCCACCTGTGGATGTGATGGCGGCTGCTGCTCTGTCCCGCTGTCCCCTCCTGGTCTTCTTCCTGCTCCTGGCCATCCCTCGGGAGTCTGCAGCAGAGAACGGTGAGGATCCCGGCATCTGGATAGCGAGAGTTCCCTTAGGAAGGAAGCCAGGGCCTTCTAGAGCCCTCCTGGGCCCTGCTTCTTGGCGGAAGGCCTGTCACCCAGGACAGGAGGCAGGCAGAGGCAATGGGACCAGAGACCAGGTGTCTGCCGCCCCTGTCCCCCTCTGTCCTCTCCCACACGCCTCTCCAGGCCACAGAAACACTGGCACCTCCGCCCTGTCCCGCCCCAGCCTGCCTGTGGGGACCTTGCAGGCTCTGGGGCTCAGTTTTTCCCTCTGAAATGGGCCACTAACCCCTTCTCTGCCCATCAGGGCTGTTTAGCTCTTCCTCTGGTAGGCTGAGGGTTTGAGGAACAGGGACGGCGGGTGGGCACCCTGCAGCCAGGGCAGGAGGGAAGGGCAGTGGGCACCCTGCAGCCAGCCACTCACGCCCCGTCCTGCTAGCAGACACTTCCAAGCTCACGTGCTTCTACAACTCGAGAGCCAACATCTCCTGTGTCTGGAGCCGGGATGGGGGCCTGCTGCCCACAACCTGCCTCGTCCAAGCCCAGCCTGATCAGCGGTGAGTGTGCGGTTGACCGGCAAAACCGCAGAATCTCAGGCCGGCGGGATCTTACAATAGCTGACACTTAGGCTCTTGAAATCCTAACTGGCAGATTCCAAGGCGTCTGTACTTTGAGAACCTTGGATTCATGGAACCCACAGACTCTTGGTGTCACAGGAGTCTGGAAAATTCGAGAGTCAGATATTGAGACTCCTGGAACCTGGGTGGGAGTGGGGTGTGGAGATCCAGGCTGGACAAGGTAGACTGGGGACACTGGGCTTTGAACTTGATCTACTGAGGCTGGAATTGACTTTATAGGCAAGAGAGGAGGAAAGGGGCGCACCAAGCTTTGGGAGTAAACTGGGGTTTTGAGAGACCCCCTATGGCAGCTGTGGGGAGAGGGGACTTGGAAGTGGTTGGGGAGCTTGGGGGTGGGGGAGCTGGTGAAGGGATAGCATGCTACAAACATCCTAGTGACGGCAGCATGGACCCCCAAGGCCCAATCAAGCCCCGTGGGAAGACTTTGCAGGGCCTTAGGTGCGGAGGCCAGGTGTCCAGAGCTGGTTTGTTTCTAGAAGATTACTCTGGCTGCTGTGGGCCAGGCTGGGGTGGGGAGGGCAGAAAAGGTGCTCATGAGGGGAGGTACAATAGATGGAGGACTTGGCACCCCTGTGAGGTTGATGTAGAGCACCCGTGCAGACTGGCCTCACTGCACGGGGACCACCCAGAGGGCTAGTTCCGGGGTCCCTCCTTTTCTTCTAAGCAGTCCTTTTGTCTTGAAAGGCCCTGGAACAAATCCTGTGAGCTGTTCCCAGTGGGGCCGGCATCGTGGTCCTGCAACCTGATCCTTGGGTCCCCCCCATATGTGAGTATCTGTAGCGGAGGGAAGAGGGCCAGGGGTAGGGTGGGTGCCTAGGGTATCCTTCCAGAGAAGAGCTCAATGGCCAGCAGGCTTTGGTGGCGGGCTGCCTGGGGCTAGGAGGTGGAAGGAAGGAAGGCAGTGTCCAAAGGCCAGAATGCAGGCCTGACCTGGCGGTGACAGATCCATGGTGCATGAGGCTCACTTCTGCAGCAGCTCCCGCTGTCTTCCCCATGCTGGGTGGGTCCTGTGACACTTCACACTCCTCTTCAAGTGGGGAGAGCACCCCAGGAATAGTAATAGCCACACCTCTGACTTCCCGAGGTCTCACCAAATGCAGGGTGGTGTGGGGTCAGGAGTGAGGATTCGGAACTGGACGGTCTAGGCTCCATCCCTGGCTCTGCTGTGCACCAGCTGGGTGATGTCGGATGGCCTCCGTGCCCGTTTCCCCTTCTATAAAATGGGAATGATTATGGCACCTACCCTTGGGGTTGATCTGAGCGTGAAGCACTTGGAACGCCACCCAGAAGACAGCATGCACTTGACACGATCGTCAACGGATCCCTGGGGAGTGGCAGGCTGGACCTTTCACCATGGCACTAGGCTGCCTCTGGAAGGGCATGTGGCCATGTCCATGTGGGTGCACATCAGATCGCTGCCTGGCAAACCCTGCTTGGCAGTGAGGGGCACCAGGGATGCCCAGACCATATTTTCCAACCATCATCAAGTTAAAAGCATACTCAGGGAGCAGGAGAGTGGAGGCTTGCACAGTGCAGCTGATGAAGGACAGCCTCTGGGCCCAGACTGCTGTGCCTGTCTTCGTGAGCTCTGCGGGTGGTCTGGTGTCAGGTCCTGGTCCCCCCTAGGTGTGTGACTTTCCTAACTGTGTGCCCTCAGGCAAATCCTTAAGCCTCTCTGTGCTTCGGTCTCCTCAGCTATACGACGGGAATAGTAACTGCCTGTCTCGTAGGATGTCGAGAAAATTAAATGAGATAACATTCGTAAACGCTTAGAAGAGAGCCTGCCACAGGCTAATGTATTGTTGGCATCTTTACAACAATGGTAATAGTAATAATAATAATAGTAGTACTAATACTGTCTGGGAAAATCTGGCCCCCGTAGAAACTGGCAGAAAGCTAGGGCAGGGCCCTTGGAGTACAGAGGGAAGAATTGTTCCAGCTCTGGGAACTCTGAGGACCAGGTTCAAGGTTTGCTCATAGTGGGCCCTGCAGCAGGTCAGAGGGACTATGCCGCAGGTCCTGGACATAAAAACAGCCCCAGAGCGTAGACCCCACCGGTGCCTGCAGGGCTGCAGGGCTCCCTCTGTGTGGAGAGGAGGCCACCAAGCGCTGCTCACTCGGCAGCCCTGGGTCAGGCACGACAGGCCAGGACTGCAGTTTTGGTGGGGCTGTGGACACAGAGCCTGAGTTTGAATCTGGGTTCCCCTGCAGACCAGATGCACGACATCGGGCAAGTCCCTTAACCTACCTGAGCTTCAGGTTTCTCACCTGCGGGAGGGGGGTGGGCCACCGCTGAGAGAATCAGCCAGAGCAGTGGCCCAGGCACCTCAGCAGGGCCTGCCCGCAGAGGCTTAATACCTGGCTGTTTCCTTCCAGAAAAGTCAGGGGCTGTGGCTGGGAAAACACGGGAGAGGGGAGCCTTTCACACTTAAAAACTATTATATAGGTACAGTCCTAGCCCTGCACCTTCTTGGGGACTCATCCTGTTTGCATACCTCTTGGAACCGGGAATTCCCTTCCTCCCAAGGCAGCTCACTTCACTCTAGGTCAGGGTGACAAACTGCTGTCTGTTTTTGTAAATAAAGTTTTATTGGTACATAGCCACACCCATTCTCTTACCTGTTGTGTGTGACAGAGTTGAGTAGTTGTAACAGAGGCCGCATGACCTGCCAAGCCAAAAATATTTACTACTTGACCCTTTCCAGAAAAAGTTTACTGACCCCTACCTTAGACAGTGTGGGCTCATGGTGGGAGCTCCACCTGCACTGTGGTCTCCCCTCCTGCCCTGCCCCCACGCCCTCACCCCCATGGTCTCCCTCCCCACCCCAGCTG